AGCTGAAGAAGGGATGTTATGTTCTTTATATAGGGCACCACCCTCGGATTATGGTCTTTCTCATCCCAACACCAACTCGTCGAGTCCACCCATGCGACTCGCCGAGTTGGTCACTTTATACGTGACCCGGATCGCGTCTCGACTCGCCGAGTCGATCTTCCTTAATTACACCAAGCACCTTGAACTTGCACTTCTGAATTCGGGGTGTTAAATGGTAGCTGATTCGACCCGTGAATCATAGTAGATTGCAGCGAGAGAAGCATCGAAAGAGGCTATATGGTTGAAGAACTTCATTGGATACCTTGGAGTTATGCCATCCATTAAGGAGCTGATGGAGATTTTCTGTAATAATGAACGAGCGGTTGCCTTAACCAAGGAACCTAAAGATCATGGCTGATCTAGACATATTGACAAAAAATACCACTTTATCAGCATGCAAGGAGCATTGGCCTGAATAATGATATTATTTTTAGTGATTAGATAGATATTTAGAAACTTGTAACAAATAAATGTAATTGACATTTGGCGATTAAGTAATGGAGATTTATTTATGAGTATTGTTTACTGTCTTTTGTCAATTGTTTATCATTGTGTTTCATTTTTGCATGTTTTCCTTCCCGAATGATTAGATTATTCAAAATATCCACATTCGATCATACTTTAGAAGTAAGTAGTGAATTAAAATTGTCATGAATCGGACTGTAGATTGTCTAAGGAGTTAGAAATAACAATGGTATACTACAGTGCTCATGAGTACTTTTGAAATGGAGAAATTGAGTATTGGATTTAACTCACGCTAAGTCAATTACTTCATGGAATTTATCACGAGTAATTCTGAGACGATAGTATCATATAATATTTAAACGAAGATATATGAGTTGTTGTTTACGAGTTGGTTGTGCATTGATAATACGTAAACGCATCAGTAACTTGATGTTATAAAACGTATTGTTGTGCATGATTTGATGAGTAAATACTGCAAGCATATAAGTCAAAGTTTATTTGTTCCTTTTTCCTTAACTAGAAAAGCGATATCTTAGGCCCCTCAATGATTTGGTGTTGACTTATGTGTCAGGCCCGATCAAGATTGAATTGATGTGTCCAATTGCACTTCCTTGTCATTACAAATCAGAAACCGGGAAACAAACTGTTGGACAATGCGAATGACATTGTTCCATGTCATTTGTCCACATCATATCTTGCAGAACGGAGGATTATATGATTACTTATCTTAAGACACACTAGTGATTGGGTTAGAGTTCGACAGTGGCTTTGAGAGCTACAATTTGCTAGTCAATTTTTGAAGTTATAATTGTAATTATAGTTATTAGACTTATCCAAGTGGGAGACTATTGAATTAGGTGTCTAACAGTCTAAGCCCATAACTATAATTGATATGTACTTGAATGGATAGTAGCACAGTCCTTTTTGGGTTGTCTTCACACTAGCAACTAGACATGATGACTTATTGAGAAAGAGGAAGAATTTATTATTTGGAAAAATCAATTTATATAGAAAAATGAATTACTTATGTATTATGAAAATAATATACTAATTAGAAATCATATTATTAATTAATATTTAATTTGAAATTAATTTTGGGATTAAATGAATTAATTATAAGTACAGTGGTTATTTTGCAATTTATTGATAGTTGTGGAATTGGGCTCTTGGATCCTCCTATAATGAATGGACGAAAACTCCTAGGGAAAGCCCTAGAATTTTCGTCAAAGGCTCTTGGATAGGGAGTCCATGGGATGCTTAGGGCTTAAGCAAAAGGATTAAGGTTTCCTCCTTTTACCTTAGCTTTGACTCTAAGTTACCTCAGCTATATACGGAGCCCCAACCACTTGATATTCCGTCCATATGCTTCCAAACCCTAAGAAGAGCCAAATTCTAGAGCTTCCTCTTCCTCTCTCATCTCATCCTCTTAGTCTGTGTGTTTGTGAGCCATTAGAGGTGTTACACTTGTGTCACTTGCTCTCAAAGTTCAAGATCTTCAAGGAAACTATTGTTAATACTACATAACAATAAATGTATCTATCCTAAACCTAGTATAATGTAAATTTCGAAAATTATAGTTGCCTCCTAGGGTTTCTCGTTTTGTACTCAATGATTGTTTGTTTAATAGAGAAAAACATAGATCTAACAATTATGGTTGCATGCACACATAGGATTGTTTTGTATGCTCAAAACTTATCAAAGACTTCCCGAACAAAAACCTAAAATTCATAAAGGCTCGAACTGCCAAATTACGATTATACCCTTTGGGCTCTAAAACACAATCGAACACTCGGATCACTTAAGATAACAGATGATCGAGTCACGACCCCGAATAATGAAACGATTTGCAACCGAGTGCTACATCTTTGATTGTAATTATTTAAAACAACAAACATTTTTTTTGTTTTTAAAGATAACATTATAATTTTTTATATATATAATATTAGTTTTAACTATTCTTATTGTATGTTACCTTTAAGTTATTTATTTAAAAATTCTTAATGATTATAAAAAATAGTTTCATGCTTTTTTGTTAATTAATTACAATTTAGGTTTAACACTATATCGAAATCAATAATTTAATGATTATAAAAAATAGTTTCATGGTTTTTTGTTAACTGAAATTTTGATTTAAGTTAACCGTGTAACATTATATCGAAATTAGTAATTTAATTATTTTGCATAAAATTATAAATTATACAAAACTTGTGACTTTAAAATGACAACTGCTTACTTACGATATCTAAACTAATAACTTAACTATAATATGTTAAAAAGTTAAAGTTATTATTTTTATAAATAGAAGTAAATAGATGTTTTAATATTGTAGTTTAGTTAATTTATGATTAAAATTTAGTTTTTGCATTAATTTAATATTATTAACCAATTTATATTAACTATTACAAAAAAAATTAAAAAGTCATTGAAGTTTCAAATATATACCGTGTAAATAAAAATGAATTTATTATAAATATATATGAATATAGATAGATAGATATTGATCAGTTAGAATTCTTTTAGTCAGAAATTTTCTTGATAATTTCTATTGACACTTAAATATAATAATATAAATGGTATAGTTAAAGATTAATTTGTTAAACTTGTTAAAATAATAAAATAAAATAAAAAATTATAAGATGCAGCTTCTGTTTAGAATAAGTCATCAATGTAAAGTTGATGTTTTTAAGGAAACCATGATAGGTGTTATGTGAAAACTAAATAAATAAATGAAATTAAAAAATTGAAAAAATAAAAAATAAAAGATAGTTATTTAATGTTCATAAATAATGTTTTTTTTTCGAATTTTTTTTTCATAAATAACATTACAATACATTATTGGATGTCTGAATCTAGCCGAATTATTTCCGACCATTCCAAGCCCATTTGGACCCAATTGATCACAAACATGAAACACCCATTCATACAAAAACATTTAACATCTAATTTTGTTTTGTGTGGAAGTACACCGGAACGATGAATGACGATATGATCTGTGTGGATAATAAAGATTTTACATTTTAAAAATCTTGCATTATAATATTAGTTCATAATTCAATGTCATTATTTATATATTTTAAATTTATGTTTATCTATATCCATACATTTTAGTGAAAGTTTATAATACTCAAGGTTCTAAATAACGTAAGATCTGACTTCGCGGTAATATCAAACCTCAAGTTTTTCCAAGCCTTAGCAAGCTACACCGTTTGTAAGGTGTGACTTAAGGCAACAATTTTATATATAATTAATATTTTTATATGTATTTTCAACTATTATTCTATTTTATACACACAAATGAGTTAAGGTGACGTTTTAGTAAAGCTTGGCGGCAAGCACATGCTTTGGAGCCATGACGCACCATGGCGTGTCTGTCGCGTCATGACGGAGCCGTGACGAGCTTTTTAGAACCTTGGTAATACTTAAGGCCGGTATTGGGCATATGCATGAAGAGTTATTGCATCGGCCCCGTATCATCTAGAGGATCCGAAATTTCTACTTTATATATATTAGTAGTAGCGGCAAACTATAGATGAAGATAAAGTTGTAAATGAATTGAACGAACACCAACGAGAGCTTGTTCATGTTCGTCCGTTTAAGTTAACCGAATAAATAAATAATCACGAACGGATAAACGAACAAGTTTCTTGTTCATGTTCGTTCGTTTAAAAAATTACATTATTCATTCGTTTAACAAATTACATTGTTCATGTTCGTTCGTTTATGTTCGTGAACATGCTAAACGAATATAAATAAACAAAGATAAACAAACATTATTGAACCTATATAAACATAAACGAACATATAATATAGTAATATAATAAAACACAATCAAATATGTATGAACATAAAATGAATTTATATAAACGAACATAAGCGAATGTAAATAAACAAAATAAACGAATGTTCATGAACATAATCGAACGAACGAGACAATTGTTCATGTTCGTTCGTTTAACTAAACGAACGAGAATTTGTGTTCGTGTCCGTTCATTTATTAAATAAACGAACTTCCCGTCGAACGGTTCACAAACAGTTCCTTGAAACGTTCAATTCGTTAACAACCCTAGATGAAGATAATCAATGAAAATTTTATTTTTTTAGACAAAACTTCAAAAATGGTCCTTGTGGTTTTCGAAAATATCAAGTTTAGTCCCTACGTTCAAAAAACCTCACGGATCGTCCCTGTGGTTTCAAAACTTTTAACATTTGGTCCTTCCGGCTAACTCCGTTACCATTTAGCCATTAAGTCAGGGGCATTTTTGTCATTTCACTACACAGGGACCATTTATAAGGTTTTTAATTACTTTTTTTTAAATAAATAAATATATAATATTTAATATGCAAGGGGTCCCAACCCATCTCTCTCTCTCTCTCTCTCGCTCTCTCTCTCTCTCGCCCCTGTTAAGACGCATCACCCCAAACACCCTCTATTATTTTTTTGATCGACCCTTGTTTTCCACGAAGCCACAACTCCGGTGAGATAAGCTAACAGTCTTATGGTGAGTTTGGTGATGATCGTAGAGTTTCATCTCCTTGGATTTCGGAATATGATCAACCATCTAGGGCAAATGAGGTCGATAATTGGGCATTTGACAAAGAAACCTATGATGCCTACTTATGACGAGATTTCTAGAGCTGAAGAGATCGATAATTGGACGGCGAGCAAGGAGCCCATGCCACTCACCATGTCTTCTAATTCTGATCCTGGTTTTCGAAATTCCGGTGGTTCTGAAGACGATCGTTGGAAAAGGGGAGTTGTGCCTCGTGATGGTGATCAGGAACGACCAACGGAACGCCGATGTTTGGTGTTAGATCCACCAAATGGTGAAAGTGCTCCAGTTGAGCCATCAGCGCACACCAATAAACTGAGTCCTTTTGGGGCAGCTAGGCCTAGGGGCTGAGAAAGGTTTGGTTCACAAGAAGGTGGATCTGGAAATTGATGCTAAGAAAAGTAGCAGTCGGTCCACGGTTCACATTCCAGTAGTTCAGTAGAGGGTCGGACTGCATTGCAACCACATGGATTAGAGAAGACAAGGCCTAAGGTGAACCCTTTTGGCGATGCTAAACCCAGAGAGGTTTTGCTTCAAGTGAAAAGGTATTGATCACAGAAAGATTAATGTAGAGTTGGAGCTTCGTCGGCTTGGCAGGTTAGTATTCCTATCTATTATTTTCTATTCTTCTCTTGACACTTGATGAAAAATCTGATCTCTGGCTGTGTGAAATTAGGTATTCCATTCAAGCATCATCATTATCATCATCGAGAAACTGTAGAAATATTGCATATTAATCTTCATACCTGGTCTTTTAGTAACCTTTGGTGTTTCTATTGTGAATACCCATCATCATAATAAATTGTTGAGCCTTTTAATTTTTTGTCAGGTCTGACACAAAAGAAGCGATAAAGAATTTGAAGGAAGACATAGATTATGTGAAGAGAGAATATAATTCTGGTTCAGATGCAAAAAAATGAATTTAATGGAAATGGAAACCAAAGCAGTAGTAGTTTAAGTGATAGAATACTTGAAAAGGAAAGGAAACTGGAACAACTAAACCATGATCTAGATTACAAAATTTGGTTCGGTCAAAAACCAGTTGAACGAACTAGTTTGGGGTTGATTGATGATTCCAGTAATAGAGATCATTCATGGGTAAAGAAGGGTGATGACAGAGAGACAAAGATGATAGGGGAAAGCTATGAAGAAGATGAAGAAGAGAATGAGGTTGAGGAGGATCGGTGCACATGTGGAGAGAGAGAGAGAGAGAGAGAGAGAGAAGTGTGGGACCTCTTGTAGAGAGAGAGAGAGAAATGTGGGACCCCTTGCATATTAAATTTATTTATTTATTTAAAAAAAATAAAAACCTCATAAATGGTCCTTGTGTAGTGAAATGACAAAATGCCCCTGACTTAACGGCTAAATGGTAACGGAGTTAGCCGGAAGGACCAAATGTTAAAAGTTTTGAAACCACACGGACGATCCGTGAGGTTTTTTGAACTTAGGGACTAAACTTGATATTTTTGAAAACCACGTGGACCATTTTTGAAGTTTTGTCTTTTTTTTTTAATTATTTTTATAATAATTATTGACTTCTCTTAGTATTAATGGTTTTTGTTTGTACAAAAAAAATTATATTTAAGGAATCACGTTAATTTTTGATATATGACCTTTAAAATTAACGGATAAACCTGATAATAGTTATATAACAAATTCTGATAATAGTTATACAACAAATTTGTAACATTCTGTTTATTTGATAAATAAATAGATAGAATGATGAACGAATAGTTGCACTAAATCCATATTATTTAGTGGATTGTTGGTTTGGAGAGCCGAATGTTATAAATTGGATTATTCGGGGTTAAAGTGTAATTTCGGAACTTGTTTTGCAAAGAATTTTAGAAGTCAGGGGGTGTTTGGTATTATTGGGACTTAATATGTAAGGATTTATGGAGGCAGGGGCTGATTGGTAATATTTTGGACTTGATTTGGAAAGGTTTTCAGAAGGTAGGGTTAAAAGGGTAAATACAACCTTGCTTTAAAAGGAATAATACAATGAGGGACCATAATTGCTATTATGGGAATGAGTTTGGATGGTGTCGGGTATATAAACTAACGAAACCCTAACCCTAACTAAACCTCTACAACCGTCACCCACCTTATACCTCATTTTCCACTTTCAGCCGCTGCCATCGGTGCTAGGATCGGAATACCACTAAGCCGAGTAGCCATTTTGCCATCGGAGAACCACCAGGTGGGAGTTGTGTCGTAGTTCTGCCATCGCAACACCACAATCACTACGTCGCCTGATGTTGTGTGTAGCTGGAAAACCACTAGAATGTGTCGTTGTCGCCTTTCCTACCGTGGCTGCTTGATCGGAAACCAAAAGAAGCCGCCACTGTTATCTGTCGCCCCTGCTTCTGTTGTGGTTGAAGGTGAAGATCGACGGTGGGACGTCGAGAGTGAGGAGAGGCAGGCCATTATCACCGTTAGCTGATGTTGTTGTCGGCTGTTTCACTCACCGCCATTGCCGCCCACCACAGGGGGGTGTGGGTTCGCTTTTCGAGCAAAGGACGGGTTCGTGTGTGTGTGCTTTTCTTGCTACTGCGTATATGGTGCTTTCTGTGTGTTTGATGGCCGGCAACCGCGAAGAACCACCATGGCCGCCAGCCATGTGGTTGTCGTTTATGTCACTTCGTTGCCGCCACTAGCCACCGTGGGGGTGGCTGTGTGCATGTTATGGTGTTTAGATGCGTGTGTTATGATGGTTTAGGGCTACACGAGCTTTTCTTGGCCGAAGATCCGAAGAAAGACCCCACTACCACCACCGTGAGGTGGTAGCTGCCACTCTCTACTGCTGCCTGCCGCCACAAGGTGGTTGTGCGTGCGTGTGTTTATAGTTGTGTGTGTGTGTTTATTTTGGGAATTGTGTTGTAAATTGTAATTGGAGTAGGAATAATAAAAATGAAAACTCATAACCACCATCGTAAGGTGGTGGTTGCCGCCTCCAGCCACCGTGTTGGGTCACGGTGTGCCTTGTTTGTGTTTTGACTCGTTTGGGACGCTTGGATAAAATGGACTAGACTCGTAACCACCACCGTGGGATGGTAGCTACCACCGTGAGCCACCGTTGATCACCACAACCCGAGGTGGTAGTGGGCGGTGCTCGCCTTATGAAACCTTAACGGGCCTTATAAGAGCCTAGTGGGCCTAATGAAGCCCTAATTGATCTAAGGACTTAGTTTTGGGCCTATTGGGTTGTTATTGGGTTGAAAACCCTAATTTTAGGATTATTGGTTTGGACTTATCGCGACCCGCATTTTGCACCATTGGAGTGAAGTGATGACTCAAGCCCCATTTCATTGTATGTTTGGACTTAATGGATTAAGTCCTCAATGGGTTAAGTAGGAACACTTAACCCTAATACCCTAATTGGTGTAACATCCCAAGTTCGGAACAAGAAGTGAAGAGTGATAGGGGTAAATAAAGGAAGGGACTCGATGAGTAGGTACGCTTACTCACCGAGTCGGAGGGGGTTGGGTCGCGAATTAAGTGACCAACTGGCCGAGTCGGAAGCTGGACTCGACGAGTTGGTGCTGGAATGAGAAATACCCTAATCTTAAGGTTTGCACCCTATTTAAAGGACTTTATGTCCTTCTCCCAGCCTCTTATTCCCCTAAAGAGTTCCAGAAAACCCTAATTTCGTGTGAGGCTTCATTATTGAGTAGATTGGAGCTTGGAAGAGGAAATTGGTGGGAAAGAGCTTGAGGAATTAAAGGCTTGCTGCAAAGGAGAGGTGTAGATCCGGGATCTATTTCAGTTGGAGCTTATATTGGAGGTGATAATCTATTGCTTGGGTTCTTTTGCATCTAGATCTTTTATCATTTGAAAATTTGGGGCATTTTTGGTATGATTAAGAGCTACTTCGAATTAGAGGCTTAGATCTGAGGTTGCTACTTCAGATCTAGGATTGTGATAGCCCATAATGTCACAAAGTTTCAGTCTTTGAGTTGTTGGTGAAGCCCCTTTGCCCAAAACCCAAGCCCTAGTGTGTTTTGGGCCTAAATCTCCATGGTTTCACGTAAAGTTTGCTACTTTACATGAGGGTTAGATTGTAGAAGGGTGGATCTATGGATTTGAGCCTCTGCATGGCTCGAATAGCTTCTGAATGGGTTGAGAACTGGAGAGACTCAGCAAGTAACATGGGTGTACTCAACGAGTGGAAGAACAACTCGGCGAGTCTGGTTGCAGAACCCAACCTCTCATGGTTAAAGCCTTGGATTAAGTGAGTCGGATAGGATGAGACTCAGAGATCGTGGGACTCGGCAAGTCTTGGGGAGAATCGGCGAGTTAAGTTGTGTAATGAGAGTGTTCTGGGTATGGGAACTCGGCGAGTCGACGGGGTGACTCGACGAGTAGAGTCAACCAAGAAGGTTGACTTTGACTGAGGACTTTGACCTTGACCAAGAGTTGACCAGTTGACTTCCAAGGATAATTTGGTAATTATGGTACTTATGGAATTGGTTCTCTGGTGGTGTTTTGAGGAGAAGTTCGTGCCGGTGGTTGGAGCAGCTTGGTCTTATCTTTTCAGTCGGCAATTTACAGGTGAGTTATCCTCAATATATCGATAGGGTCTACGGCACCAAGGTCGGCCCTGTATCGGATGGAAATCCGGGTATTATTTGTTATGTTATTGCTTTGTTATATCTGCATCCTGGTATTTAGGGTGATGTTATGTTAGTGACTTGGTTAAGGTCGGTACCCAGTATATAGGGTAATGTTATGCTAGTGACCGGTTAGGTCGAAATCCTGGTTAGGATGTGATATGCTATGAGATCTGATAGACTGTTGTATGGTTAAGGATTTGTTATGTGATTAATTGTTTCATGTGATGTTGATATGTTGTGAGCTCTGATAGAGTGTTGTCTGGTTAAGGACTTGTTATGTGATTAATTGTTTTATGTGCACATGGTTGTTTGACGGGGGTATGGGTTGAGGCGGGTCCTGCTTTGTGATGTAGGCCATCATACCTAGGGGGACCGGATATTTCGAAGGCCTAGCGAGCGGTCCGGATAGGCTGAAGGCCCCAACAGGGCGGACCAGACGTACCGAGGCTCGGAAAGTGGACCAGGCCGACTGAAGGCCCGATGCGGGCGGACCAGTCATACTGTAGACTTAGAGAGTGGACCAGGTGGATTGAAGGCCCTGTGCGGGCGGACCAATCACAATGTAGACTTGATATACATGGCTAGACTCGGAGGGTGGACCCGATGGACTAAAGGCCCGGTGCGGCGGACCAGTCCCACAGTAGACCCGATGTGCATGGTTGTTCTATTTGTGCTATGTTATGAGTATGTTTATGCGTGGTTGGTATTTTGGGGGTAACTCACTAAGCTTTCGGGCTT